TAATAAGATTTATTAAGACCTTGGTATTTCAAAATGGGAAATTCATATTTCATTCAAATTCCATATGCTTTAAAATGAGGTTAAAACCCCGAATATAAAAATCCACAGAGCAGAGCAGAAATTCAAGAGACCAAAAGGGTTCATAACCAACAGATTCCAATAACAAGTCAAAAACAATGCTTCGAGTTTTATATGAATCAATCTGGAAGACTCAGATGATGATGACGAGAGAAACTTACACACTCTCTAAAGCTTCTTCTTCATCAAGGCTCCAATGGGGATTTTGCTCATCACCTTACTCAATACCTTCTCATCGAGCACCGCATATTGCTTCTTGATCTCCTTCACTGCCTTTTCACCAAAGTCATCTACTTTATCTTCATACTTTTCGTAAAGCACGGGAACGGTGAAGAGAATAACAGTTGCTGAAAGTAGAGATAAAGATGATTATTTAGATATCATAAACACACATAGAAAAAAAGGGTGATTTTATCAAACGGATGCAATAAGAGTATGAATTGTTACCAATATAGACTAAGGTCAAGAAGTTGCAGGAGCTACCAACTTTGGACAAAACCCACAATCCAGCAATTACCTAACACAAATTTTTGTTAACATCGAGAAACCAGAAATCAAACATCAATCAAAAAATTAACAAAAATGGTTTACCATTAGAAACTTCTTGAGATCTCTTCCTGATGCAATGTCCCTAAGAACAGTAAAACCGCGATTGATTTCAACTCTAAGTCCAGAAGCAAGCTGTAGAACAATTTCCTCAGGGATGTGAACTTCAGGGATATGAGGAGGAGTCCTGTAATGTAAAATAATCAGCTTCAACAGTCCATTAGAGTTCATCAATCACTCACTAAAGGTCACAAACTTACTTGTGAATGAAGGTAGTAGCACTAGACCATAAGAACAATACTGCAAGAGCAAGAATCGAAACGTGTCCAAAAAGAGTGAGGAGATTGTATTCAAGTAACTCGAATAAGATCCATGAGACAGTTGCAGCACCCAAAACTCCTCCTGATACCTTCTTGTTCCTCCAGAGGAAAATGTCGGCAGCTGAAAATCAAAACAAAGTAAAGCAAAGATTCAAGATCCTGAGCTTACGAAATTACTCACTCCACACAGATCCTTAGAGACTCTTTAACTCCAGAACCAAATGTATACTAAACACCAAATCAAATCGTATCCTAAACTACATCAATAACCAACTCGATAACGAGAAATCCTACGCTCATCACTTCACAATCAATCGGTAAAAGCTATAGAATCCAGATCCGATAAGAAAAAAAACTATCTAAAATCGCTAATCGGAGAAGCTTGAAACCGAAAACTGGAGATTAAAGAGAGAGAAAAAGAGAGATTCATACGTTTTCCGCCACCAAAAACCTTGTGGACAGGCTTTTCTCTACCGAAAAGGCGGTAAATCTTCGTTTTGAGAGAAGAAGAATCAGATTTCTTCTCGTCATCTGAATCGGAAGAAGAAGACGAAGAGTCACCATGACCATGGATCTTCTCAGATATCTTCTCCATGATCGATTCCTCGTGTTTATGCTCTTCCGCCATTGTTGTAAACTCCGCAAGAACCCTAAAAACACTCTTTCTGGTCTCAGAAACGGAGAAGAATATGAAAAGACTCTACTCTCATCAGTCACTTCCCTAAATAAGAGCGTTTGATATCGATTCAATCTCAACCGTTAATTTTTATAACTCAATCTTTAGCCGTTGATGTATCCGGGCAGGTAACAGTCCACGTTGGAAATTAAATACCTTTACTTTTTTAAAATAACAATTAAATAACAGTAACATCTTTGAGACGGAAGACAAATGACCGTTAAATAGTTAATCATGCTTCTTATTCCAACTAACGTCTCCGTTAGTGAAGCGTTAAAAATGTCACTGCGTGGAGAAGGTATTCGCTTTGATACGACGTCGTAGCAGTATCTGGGAGTCAAAACAACAACGCCCCACGTGTAAATAATCCGATGGGTTTAAGATTTCATTTGGGCCTGTGAGAATTTTTAAGAGGAAGCCCAAAAGAGTGAAACGAAGATATTTCAAATTTACTTTGTAGCGAATTGGTGGAACAGAACTTAATGGAATAAAGTTTACTTCAATTGATTAAAGACTTAGTGGAATTAAACTTTTTCTAAAAGTTTACCATTTAAATTGAAAAATATAAAAAATTTGATTCAACTTATTCCAGTAAAAAAAAAATTATAGAATGAACAAGTATATTAATTATGTCACCAATATACTTCAATTTATGCTCTTTACTCTGTTGTTGTTAGAATTCGACACTTTATGCATTTCATACTTGTATATTTTGTTTTTTTTTTTTGTAAACAATGGGGTAATCCGGATTTTTACCCACCCGACTAATCCCCTGTGATGAGTGTATCCGTCGAATAGCCCAATCATCGTGTTTTTTAATGGGCCTATAGGGTGGTACCACTTCGACTGATCTAAACCCACCTAGCAATTCTTTGTTTAAGTCAGAACCACTAGCTCACTACCACTTGTAAATTATATAAGACAAAGTCTAATTGTGGCTTTTGGTCTAATCACATTGTCTTTTCTTCCATTGTGCTTTGTGCATATAACTGTATAAGCATATGTTTTCGGACCATTTTTAATATCATTTAAACTTTGGCTCCAAAATCAATTTGTACATGTAAATTTAAGAAAAAAAGGTATGTAGCCAAATCAAATCTATAGGGCTAACTATTGCTGCATCATGCCAAACAATTCACCCGACAAGATCAGATTTAGGGTATTAATATTTTATTTTTTTGTGCAACATTTAGGGTAGTAATATTCTTCTCGTGATTAACATGATAAAGAGGCATGTGTAATAGTATAAGTATCTGAAATTATTTGGGATCAACATATAATTAAAATAGATAATTCGCTTAATCATTGGGTGGGAGTCGGAAATAAATAGCAAGCTGCAATGAAACGTTTTGTTCTTTTTCATGAAGCGGTTTTTCTTTGACCAGAAATCATAAGATTTTGTCAATTGGAGCTAAAAATTGTATCACTGTCAGTTCAATTCATTATAAAAATGTTTATAGTTTATTCTTATCTCGCATATGTTAAAACACAAACCAAAAATTAGTTTCTTTTGTTG